GTTGTTGTACAAAATTTCTCAAGTACCCGCGACAGATGAGTCCCTCTATCTCATCCCGGAGATTATTACAATGTTCGGTACTATGACTGTGGTCTCTATGGAAACTGTAGTACAAGTTTTTGTTCCTCTCGTTTGGGTTCCCTTTTAGGTGAGGTGGCCATTTTACGTAGCGTCTTTGATCGTCATCAAGAGAACTGGGTCCAGCTTCTTACTGATCCGGGGGCCAGGTTCCTGTACCAGGTGCAGGCCACCCCTCTGAAGGTGGTAGTGAAGGCCACGCACATGCATGATTCACTGGCCCTTGCCAAGTGCATTTGGGACTAGAGGGCATTGACGCGGTCGTTGGGGTCGAAGGACCCATCATAGTTGTCTAAAGGGGGAAGTTTGAAATCTCTGGGCATGGGGACTGCAAGGAGTTCTGATGAGAGGGGGGAAGGGACTGAGAGAATAGGGACATCTTTTACCTCGTCCGAGCTTGTCTCTTCTTTACCTCGGAGCTCGGGCAGGACATGGGTGGTAGTTCGGCGACTTCGCCGGCGTCTTCGTTGCTGAGTGGGCCTGGTACTGGCGCTGCTGGCCTCTATGTTGCCGAGCTCGATGGGCCCGGACTGTTGGTCTTCCGCCGCGACGCTGAATCGGTTCTCTGTGGGCGGGAGCTCAGACTTGGAGTGCCGAGGTGCTGACCTGGCGGGCGAGGTTCCCGACCCGCCGGCGAGCTGCGAGGCGGGGGTGATTTTTCTTTCCCCCCGGCTCGGGGATGAGGCCTGGCTCTTGGGGGGGTTCTGAAGTTGGGAGGCTTCTCCTCGGTGATGGCGTCCGCCCTGAGGGGAGGGCTTAACCGGTTTCATAGCGGGGTGCCGAGGTGGAAGCTGTGGTTGGTTCAGAGGCAGTTGGGGGAATTGCTACTGATAGTGATACTAAGAGATGTGGTGCAATACTTGGTGCTGCTGGAGCTGATACTGCTGGAACTGTTGCATTTGGGCTTGCATTGCCCGCATGCACTACATCAAGTCATCAAACTGGTTTTGGCTAGTCGCCAAGGGGACAACAGTTGGTTCGGTAAAGGTTGTCTCGACAGGGAGAGGAAGGGGGATGTTCATGGCAGGAAGGTTCACGGGTGCCACTGTTCGTGGCGCATTCAGGCAGGGGATCCCATCCACTGAAAGGGGGATGGTGAACTGTCCGATGCACACCACGGGGACTTGAAGTTGTTCCCTGATGGCGTTCATCTCCATGCTACGTCCGACATTGCTGGAAGAAGCCATGAGTATGGGGTTTCTTGGAAAAAAGGGGTTATGAGAGTTTTATAGGGAGGCTTTTAGAAGCGTATTCCCACAGACGACACCAATTGATGGAGCGCAATCCGGTCGGTCCTAGCTGTCAACGATCTTGCCTCTGGCTGGAGCAAAAGGTGCCTGAAACGGGGAAGAAAGCGAGTAATCTCCGGGGAGGAACCCGGTGAGAGTGCTCTGGACCTCAAGTTAGTATTTCCTCAAATGTAAGATAAAAACCAGATGGCGCAAAGTTATCATGTACCTCCTTCTTGGGGGGAAGAGAGCCTTTTATAACCACTTCGCGCACTCACTCCCAAGCTCCTGTCAGGTCGGGTATCATTACCTCTGCACTTCTGCCAGTTCGGGTGTCATTACCTCTACTAGGACAGACAACCACCACTGCTCTCTTTGTCGGAGCCGTCTCTGTGACTGGTGGTGGCGGTGGCAGGTGGCCGTTGAAGTGCGGCTGTCAAGCATTAGATCCTAAGTCAGTCAGGTGCACCGCCTCAAGATACGGACTCCTTTGGTGTCAGGTACAGTTGTTCAGTTCGGCGGCCTGGAGACGAAGTGCTGGAGTGGTGTGTGAGGTGAAGTCTTGAGTTCGGATAGAGGTGTGGCCCGAACTCCCCTGGGGTGGGCCAGTTCGGGTTGTTGCCCTTTGTGCTCCTCGTAAGGCTCGGGGTCAAAGGGAGAGTTCGGGCTCCTTTTGGGGAGCTCGGACTGCTGGTTCATCCTCTCGGAGCTCGTGCCTTTGGCGTACTGCCGTGTCGAGCTGTTGCTTCTGCCACGTGTTGGGTGGTCAAGAGGTCGAGCCAAATCTTCCTTCATCAGTTGCCTTCTAGACACATGGTGGAGTTCTGAGCTCGCCATTTGGGGTAGCTCGTCTCGACGGGAGTTACCTCTTTCAATCTGTAGCTTGTCTATCTTCCAGGGCCATTGGTTGGTCAGGACTTTACGACAGTTTGAGATATCCTGTTTCTCCTCGATGAACGAGTTATGCATGGTTGGGCAAGGTGAGCCATGATTCCTGATGTGGTCCCCATTGCTCCAAGGTCATGCTAGGTCATCTAGAGGTGGTCCCCAATTATCCCAATCCTTTAGGTCATATGGAGGTGTATTGGATTGGGTTGGATTAAGCCAATATCTTGTCCATTGATATAAGATAAAAATATAGGTGTTAATGGACCAAGTTTGGGTTGAAACCAATATAAATTTAAACAAATTTGAACAAATTGGATGGTCCATACATTGAATTGGACTGGTCCAAAATATTTATTGGATTGGATTGGACTTGGTCCATTTATAATGGACTATTGTTGGACTGGATCGAATTGGACAAAATTCTGTCCAATTGATATCCTTAAGTAGTAGTTCAATTTACAATTTAAACCTCACAATTAAACATGGACTAAATTCAAAACTAAGTATTTTTGTTAAAAGAATGTCCCATGATCTCATATTTTTAATAGTAGTGTAAATATAGAATTATAAATATGTTAAATTTTTTCTATAATTATTTTGTATTTTTATGTGTAGAAATAATTATGATATATCACACTTACTTCTTATTTAATATGATAATTATATGATATTATACACGTGCCTGAATGTTCGTTTGAAAAACTTATGTATTATTTCATTTTATATTTTATTAATTTTTATTATTTATTTATTTATGACATTAAGTGCTAACACATTTGACCCAAAAGTTGAACTATTGATCTTTGCTAAATAGTAAAATAATTTTATTTTTTGCTCAATTCTAAATTATGCATTTAATTTTTATTATCAATAAAAATAATTATTGTTTATTACATGTATTTTTTTAATTTAATTAATAAAAATATCATCAATGTGTCTACTTTTTTCTACATTTTGTAATTTTTATATTTAATTCTATTTTAATAATTTTATTATCTAACTATGACTATGTAGGTTGGTCAATTTGATTCGGATAGTTGAATTTCTTAGCCGCTGCTTTGATAAATAATGGTATTGTTATCGAGATAGTTTTAAAGTATTCAAGTTTATATTGTTAAAAATATTGGCATATATTTAATTAGTATAGTTTATTAGTGAAAAATAATATAATATAGGATTTAATAAGAGAAAATGGGAGTTTGTACTTTAAGGCCCTATTCGCTTTTCGGTAAGTTATTTACCCGGGTAAATGTAGTTACCTGGGTAAGTTTTTCCTGGAAAATACTTACCTGGGTTAGTGCATTTACCCATGTTATTTTATTTCTCATGTAAATAAGGCAATGACCATTTTAGCCATAAAAGTTCATTATTAAAATGGGCATTTTTGTCTCATTCAAGTGTTGGCAACTTTCTCCCTAGATGGGAAAGTTATTTACCCACGTAGGAGATGAGTATCACTTACCCATGTAAGTATTACTCAAGAAAATAAACTTTCCCTGGTCCCCACATAAATCTGAAAAAAAGAACATGAGATTCTTCGTCAATGGAAACCAAAATCCCATTGACTAACTTTCCCCCTCTCAAAATCCGAAAAAAGAATGCCCCCAAAGTTATAAGACTTAATGAGAGGGGATTAAATAATATGGAATGTAATAATTGAAGTTAGATTTTCAACACTTACAATTAGAGATACACTAAATAGACAAATATAGGCATTTTAATAACCATTAAAGTTGACATTAAAGCTATAATAAAATAACTTTTATACCCTTTCTCAAATAATGAAATAGGGGATAGTTTTAGTCGAAAAAATTAAACTATGCATTCCCACTTTTATATATAGTATAGATAGATGTATAATATATAATATTTAATATATATTAAACACATTTATTTATTTATTATAATCAGGCCTGTTGGGTCAGGCCCGATTATCCCAAGAACTGATCGGTTTGCTTATGGTTCTTAGACCCTATCGGGTCCAGTTTGGTTTCAAATCTAGCTGGTCCTTGCCCAGGCCCGACTCATTAACAACCTTACTTATTAACCATCCATACCCATACACACATTTATAATAAATTTATGTAAATATTGAATATATATTTATTAAATTTATAAATAACTGGGTTCTAATTTCAATTTCAATTGGATGCAGTTTATAAAATCCAAAATTGAAATTATCATATTGAATGTGAGATCAGGTTTTGGACTCCATTGACAACTTTGTTTCCACCGCACCCTTCGCCAAACCACATGCATATGGAGGAGAACAAATTGATACCATGATTGGCCTAATATTATGAGGAGAACATTAATAAAAGATTGAACGGAGAAGTACGAATAGATTCAATGCAGAAATCTGATTCCCACCGTACAATTGTAAATATTTAAAACGCTCAAAAACCACACCCTATGCATCCATACCCTGTGAATTGACATCAATTTCGCGCTGGCACCTACCCCAATTGTATTTTGAACCTACAAATTCTGACACTAGGGATATCGGTCATTCTCCCAAGATTCAAATGCAATTTTACTGATTTACCAAAAAAAACAAAATAAAATATCGAATCTTACCGAGATAGAACTTGGCCTGGCCCAACCCACAAAAGCCTTAGTCTGCCCAAGCCCAAGTTATAACTTGGTCTCGTTCATAGCCGGGCCCAAGGTCTACCGTCTACGTTTAAGGGTTGGTCCTGTGTTGACCCTAAACAAGGCCCAACCAACGCGCCCAGGTTACATACTTGCTGGCTTGCTCCCACGACTGATGACTCCTATGTGGAAGTACCGTACGTGCGACTGTGCGAGACGTTGCCGTCGTCCCTCAAAAACGATAAGAAAGATATTTCTTATCCATACAAAAATCCTGGGCACCCTTTCCATTTCCCGCTTCAAGCTCTCATCCTCTGCATCTGCCCTGGTTTTTGCTAGGGTGCCTAAATTCCTCCAAAACGAAGTGCATTTAGAGTTCCGAATCTCTTCTTCTTCTTCTGTTGATTTTGCTTTTAGGGTTTTCTCCTTATCCGTGCATTTTATACTGAGCTTTTGAGTAACTTATATTTGAGTCGAGATGGCTGCTTTGAGTGCTCTTTCTCTTTGCCCTTCTAGGTTTTCATGTCGACCAAATCCAAGAAGAGCTTCCATTTGTTGCTCTGTTGACGCTCCTATCGTGACAGGTATCTATTCATTCTTATTGTAGGATTTTTGAATCATTTCCGTTGTCTCTCCTTTAGAGAAATCACGTTAACCTGCATTCTGTCTGGAACTCTTTTACTGCAATGCTATCCTTGGAGCTTCTTGAATGCAAATTGGTGAACTGGGTCTCAAGGAGCATGACTATTACCTCTCTTTGGGTGAGAAGAACAGAAAATACCTTACCGGATGGGTTAGCTAAGCAAGGGGCCTCAAGGGAACATTTATTTTGGGCTGCACTGTAATTTTAATTATGTTTTATCTTGATGTAATAATTTGGTAGGAGAGGTAACAGCTCGTGCCTCTCCATGGGTATCCTGTAGTGCTTTATTTTTTCTGGTTTAGTAAAATTATCTTCATTCATAAAAAAAAAATGGTGAACTGGGTCGGTCAGTTTATGCATTGAAAGAAATGAGGGAATCTTCCAGTAGGTTGTAGATAGCGTGTATGGTGGCCATATATATGCTTAATTAATGAAAATTATTGTTACGTCCGTCCATCTTCCTCACATGAATGCTGGAATATTAATTCGAAATATTTAGAGAGAGCTTCTTTTCATTCTTCTTATATAAATTCTAAACCATCAGTTGTGAATTTCTTTCTGCTAGATTTTCTTATTCGATTCCATTCTCTCTCCTTAACTGTAATAGATAATATATTGGTTTCACAAATGAATTCGTTCTTTATGAAACTCTGATTCATTGCTCTATATTATGCTAGTGTGATACTCACTTTATGTTGAACCCTTTATTATTTTCTTTCATCTCTTTTAGCGGGTTTCATTCCATTATGAAACTATAGGGTGTTAGCAAGTTTTTGTCCTTTTTTTTTCTTTCCTCATATTCCCATGTAGCACACTCATCTTCATCTAAAGTTTACCACTCACCATTGGAATCACATGCCTTTTTACATACTTGCATGCATGCCCACACTTTTTTTTTTCTCTTCCTCTTTCGTATATTTAACTACCTAGTCATGCTTCTCTAGTTCTTTCTTTCCCTAATAACACTTGTTCTTTATACTAATTGGTTTATTGATAGGTACTCGGGGGTCAAAAATTCCTCATAAGAGATCTGGAAGAATGGAAGGGCCTGGAAAAAGTATGGAGGATTCTGTTCAGCGCAAAATGGAACAATTTTATGAAGGGTCTAATGGGCCACCTCTCCGTGTTCTCCCCATAGGCGGCCTTGGTGAAATTGGGATGAATTGCATGCTTGTAGGGAACCATGATCGTTATATCTTGATTGATGCTGGTGTTATGTTTCCAGAGTATGTTCTAGAAATTCAATAGCCATTGTGCCACACTGGTTAATTAATAGTTTTTTTGTTTTTGTTTTAGTGATCTTTGGTAAGATTATGCCTATGATAAAAAACACAAGCTACCTTTCACTAAGAGACAAGAGAGAGCATAACAAAAATTTACCACAGGGTATATCACACAGCATACATGCCAGTGTTACTACTAGTAGCAATCTTATCGTAGTCCCCAATAGAACTCACTTCATGTGATTCCACCTTAGCCAATCTCAAAGAGAACTGGGATTCATTTTATTCAGCTCTTTAATGCTAGGGCTCTAACTTCTCTAATCTGATGATGTAGGAGGCCTTCATGTGATAATTTGAGAGTTTTTCTCAATTTCAATCCTCTCATGTTCAATAGAGAATCTGGTCCTTAAGCCCTAGAGAAGGATAAAGAGCTTCGGCATAAGGATGCACCACTCTCTAATAGGCCTCAAGTAAAGAAAAATGTAATATCATGACTGTAGCAGGATCTACTGTCTGTAAACTAACAAGCTAGCCATAGATTAGGTATAACTTGAGCCATTTTATGTTTGCTGCTGCTCAGCTGCTTGTGAAGTCTATTCACTTTGAAATTGGAATTAGGTCCAATTATAATGAAGCTACAGTTTCTTTGCTAAGTACAAATATAGTGACACTATTACATCACTAATTTAGCGTGTTAGTCAGTAAACAGACGGATAAACTGCTAAAATGTACTTTTATTAGGCTCGAAGTTGTAGCCTGGATAATACTGGGAAGTGACAATTTTCATTTTCACTAGTCATTTAAGAAAGCATTTATCATATCTGTTTCACAAATTATACCTTACTATGGTTTTTTTGACCTGTACTATGTTGTTTAGTTTGCTGACTTTTCCTTCAATGATCATTGGCCTTTATACCGTGTCACATCTTTACAGCTATGATGAGCTTGGAGTCCAGAAAATCATACCTGATACAGCGTTCATCAAAAGATGGAGCCATAAAATTGAAGCAGTTGTTATAACGCATGGTCATGAAGATCACATTGGTGCGTTGCCTTGGGTAAAGTTCTCTTTCTGCTTCTTGAAACAGTAGTTCTGATTTAACAGTTATAAAGACACAATTTACTCACTATGGCAGTTGTGGTTGTGGCTTATAATGATCTTTTTCTGTCAGCATCCTAAAGTCTGCTTATTTACAAATACTGTTATGCTGTATAGGGATTATTTAAGGTCATTGTTGTTAGGTCAGCATGCCTAAACTTATGGTCCTTGCCCTTTCCAAGCTACCTCAGCTACAATGTGGTGCATATGTAGAAGAGTCTAGATCATTTTTTGGTTTTAGTTTTGGGCTCTTGGTCCACAACGAAGCAGTTTGATGATCTTAACTGTCCATCCATCTTATTTTGATCAATCAGGAGCCAAGAAAATCTGCATCAGTTCTCTGCCTAATAACTAAGCCAGCTGTTTTCTTTTTATTTTTTATTTTTTCTTTCAGGATGGGAGTCTTTGTGTGTGTAGTTCTAAGATTCTGAGTTACTGGTGATAAATTGTTAAATGGTTATTTCATGCATATGCTTGTTTGTGAAACTCATTTCCTATATTTTACTCTTCCTGTAGTTTTTTTATCAGCAAAGAACAGATTTATTATTGATTGAATTAATGATTACAATTACAATTAGAGATGGGACTGGATACCCAGTGACCCTTATGTTGTATTTACCCTTTTACTATGCTGCCCAGAAATATTATTCCCTATGGATCCCTTTTTGGCCAAGGGAATCTGGCATGGCATCCCATTAGCAGTTCTCTTTACCCATCTTAATGTTGCAACCACTTCTCTCACTGGCTTCTCAATTACTCATTCTGTACTTTTCTTCCCAAATGCCATCATCATGCCTTATCTCACTTAAGTGAGGTCTGTAGCATGAACATTGCATTTTTTTTGATAAATCATGAACATTGTTTATTCCACTAAAACTAATGGCATAACTAATGTTAAAAAAATGAATTAACAAATCTCTTCTCTGATATTGTTGGCCATTCCCTTTCAACTTGATGTGCCTCAACTTGTATCCAATCACTTTCGATTAGTGTCAACAACAATTTTCATTTCACATAGTTAATCCACCTTTCTCCTTGGATTAATGTAAATCAGGATACACTTGGGATTTGATTAGTGTCCATGACATTGGATATATCCAATCACTTTGGATTAGCATGAACATTGTTGGTCATTCCTTTTCTCCTTTTGCACTGATCATAGATGAAATGACTAAACATATTCATGAAGAAGTTCCATGGTGCATGCTGTTTGCAGATGACATTGTTTTAATTGATGAAACTAACACAGACCAGCTATGTTGTGTGGAGCAGAGTGTTGGGCAGTCAAGAAACAACATTTTCAGAAAAATGTATGTGACAGAAATGCGAATACTTATTCATCAAAAAAAAAAAAAGAAATGTGAATGCTAAGATGGATGAGTGGAAAAACTAGAAAGGATAGGATCAGAAATGAAGCCGTTTGTAGAAACCTAGGAGTAGCTCCAATAAGTGATAAAATGAGAGAGTAGGCTAAGATGGTTTTGTCATGTGCATAGAAGGCCACCAACAGCTCCAGTTAGAAGAAGTGATTTATTACAAGTGGAGGGGGCTAGAAGAGCTAGGGGTAGACCAAAAAAGACATGGGTAGAACTAGTAAGAAATGATTTAAGCACTAATAATTTAACAATGGATTTGGTTTTAAATAGAACGGATTGGCGAAGCAAGATTCATGTAGCCAACCCCATATAGTTGGGATAAGGCATGGATGATGATGGTTAATCCACCTCAGTATATATCTTTGTGCCTGGTGGTGTTACTACTGGCATCATCATGTACTTGTATGTGTCTTGTTAATACATCCCTAACCAATGCAAAAAAGATAGACTTAGTGGTGGCTCTTGACAAGGATCTATTGCCAATCTAGGCTCACTTCTATCTTCACTCAATTGTTCTCACACTAGTTATTGATCTCAAATTCACAGTTATTAGTGTCTGAAAAGCAACAGAAGTAAATGGTTGATAATGCATGGATATGTTGACTTTTGGATATTGAGATGGTGTTAATATCTGCATGAAAAGTTATGTCCATTATATTATTATTATTATTATTATCATCATCATCATCTTATCGTAGATGATACCAATAATTATACAGGGGTTACAGAAGGTATTTTGTGGCTGTTAATGTCATTAATTCTAAAATGGGGCGATTACCCAATAAAGCTCCAGGCTATAAGGGGTCTTGGGAGGGTTAGATTGGATATGGACCTAACCTTTGGCATTTTTTTTGGCACAAAGTGGTTGCTCTTAGACTGAACCTTCATTCATTCAATTGTCATCCCAAGTTTTTTTTTTTTTTTTTTATTTATTTTAATTCCCAGTGTAGAGTCCCCTGGTTGCAGTTGCACGGGTGTGATGTATCTATTCTAACAATTTTTGAAGTGAAGCAAATCTATACTTTATCCTTTTCAAGAAAAAAAAAGAAAAGAAATACACACACAAACACACCATTGCACCAAGCAATGGTCAGTTGCCAATTTTGTTAATTCTGATTAGTATAGATCTCAAGTATTTTAACTTATTTTCCCCTCAAGGAAATCTCATAACTGTTACTTAATGTGCCGTGTAAGCAGGTTATCCCAGCTTTGGATCCTAATACACCAATATTTGCTTCATCCTTCACAATGGAGGTAAGCAGCATTGAAATGCTTTACACCTTGCATGAAATTCTGCATTATGTTTTTGGGGGAGAGCACTGCATATATGGTTTAAAATTTGGTGAATCCTTTTAAGCTATGGATCTCAAAATACCTTTGTCTATGTAGTCAAGTTTTTGTCGATGTTATGAGTTGCTTATTTATGTGATTTAACCTAGACAAACAAAAGCTAACTTATATGAGTTGTGTATGATTGTATGATTGTTTGGTTTCAATCTTGATTCAGTTGTACTTGTGGTTTATAATGCTTTTCTCTTATCATTTTGGTGAACCTGCACTTAATATATGCTTTAAATAGTTTATAATGGGGTCTTGCATCTTAAACTTTAAGCCTCATCTGGGCCCGTTTGGGAAGGCTGAAGTTTTGATTGAGCTGCTTTCACTGAGCTGCTGGAGAAGGCACTAAATGAAGCTTCAGCGGAAAGCCATACTTTTGGTTGTGAGACAGCTATTTTTGGGCTTTTCAGGTTTTTCCCCAAATATTGCTTATAGGATGTCTGTGTGGGGCCCACCTCATAAAGACAGAAGCCACTATGTGAAAGCCCTCCCAGATGGGCACTGTGTCATTTATATAGTATGTGTTTTGGTTAATATAGCAACAAATGATCTTTTGTTGTTTGTGGAACTATGAAGCCTAATGGCAGTTTTTTTAAGTTGTGTCATGATCACATTGTGTTTAATCATATTGGGTTTGGAACTTTTCAGTGTTCTCTTAAGTTGTTTCCTTTATCTTGTTGATCCTTTTCATCTTTATTTTTTGATGAACAAAAGGTTATTTGATTCTTTTATTATCATAAGATGAAGGTTGGCCTAATGGTTCAAGGGCGCGCTTAATGTTGATCCTTTTCATCTTGGTACAGAGAAATGATACTGTAGCCTTTTTGCTTGTTTACAGCTTATTAAGAAGCGATTGAAGGAGTTTGGAATTTTTGTTCCATCTCGGCTGAAGATGTTTAGGACAAGGAAGAAATTTATAGCTGGGCCTTTTGAAGTAGAACCCATCAGGGTTACACATTCCATTCCTGATTGTTGTGGATTGGTGCTTCGATGTGCTGATGGCACAATTCTTCATACAGGGGACTGGAAAGTAAGTTCCTCATCAGATTTCATTTCCAATTTTTAGTATAAATTGTGCTAACCCTATATACCATTTTTTTTTCTTTTACAGATAGATGAGTCACCATTAGATGGAAAAACTTTTGACCGTGAAGCTCTGGAGGAACTCTCAAAAGAAGGAGTTACACTGGTAAGTCTCTTTGAAGTCTGGACTATTCCTTTTTTTTTTCCTCTTTCTTTCTTTCTTTCTTCATTTCTTTTTTTATTTCGTATTCTTGTAGGGTTCTAAATGCTGTTTGTAGAAATCAATCCATGCATTGCAAGTTTGCAACTGATTCATGAGAATGTTTGTGACATTGTGGGGTATTGGGGTTACAGATTTTATTTGAATCTAGTAACTTCCAGTTTTAATTTAGCAGCAAACTAACTTTACTTACCTCTACAATTAATCCTATTTTAGTTTATTATAGTTTTTCTAGTACCCTGTTAGTTCTAGCCAGATATTCACATTTGTAATAGGCATCAAGGTGAAAATGCTCAAGATGCTAACCTGAAGTATACCCTAGAACCACTTAAACATAGGGGGTGTTTGACATGAAAATTAGAACTCTAGTGACATTATGGAACCCCAAACAATATTCAACCAAATTAGAAAAAAAGTTGGATTCACAATTCACATTTACCTTGAATCTTCCACATTGTGAAGTAGTTTGGAGCTCAAAAAGAGTGTCCAAATACCTCTCTCCTTACCTTTGAGAAATTTTGACCCCAAAGACTATGCTTTGTGTTCAAAAACTTTAAATGGCTAGTATTAATTATGAAAACTACCAATACAAGGTCAAGCATACTTCTGATATGGACTTTGAGATTGAACATGTGACAATCAAGTTGGTCCCCTATTTGATGATGTTGGTTCGGCTGTTTTTAGTGTATATGTTAGTCATATTTGTGTCTTAAGTTCTTAGTTATTGGGCCTAAACTTGTTTAATGTTTTATTTGTTTTATTTGTCAAGGTGTCCCATCACTAATTAGGGGCATTCTAGTCCATTCATGTAACATTATTTTTTAATGATCTATATAAGATTGTAGGGCCGGCTGAAGTGTGTATGCCACCTTTCTCAAGACTTCCTCTCTTCTTCTTCTTCTTCTTCTTCTTTGGCTACTGTGTTCCAGCAAATAGATGAGATGTTCAAATAGGCCACTTGATCCCTTGTGGCATAAATATGTGGGTTCGTTTAGAAAAAAACTTTTTATTTCTCCTAATTTGGTAACCTTTTTCCATTCTAATTACTTCTCTCTCATTGTTAGAAGTAGAAGGCTATTATCATTTGCTGGGTAACATGGGAAGAGAGGAACAACAGAATTTTCTTCGAAAAAAGGAAGTGATTGATAGTATCAAGGTGAAAATAGCCCATTGGGTAAAACCCTTGGACTGCTTTCAAGTCTTTTCAGTCGCTGACATTCTAAGAACATGGTCTGAAGTAGCACAATCTTCGAGAGTAAGAGATAAAGTAAGGCTGGAGTGGAAACCACCAGAAGGCAATAAAATAAAGCTGAATTTCGATGGGTGCTCCTGTGGAAATCCAGGCATCTCAGGAATAGAAGGAGTATTAAGAAACTTTGACAGGAGGATATTGGGTATGTTCTCAGGACCGATTGGCAACGGAAACTCGCTGAAGGCTGAACTATTGGCATTGCTACATGGGTTAAAGCTAGCTAAACAACTAGGATGCAGACATGCTGAAGTTGAAGGGGACTCAAAAGTAGTAATTTCATGGGCAACAAATAGCAGCCACACCCTATGGACGTTTAAAAATGTGATTAGGGAAGTGGAGAAGATTGCAAAGGAGGTTGAGGCTGAATTTAAATGGGTCCGAAGAAGTGCAAATGGGCTAGCTGATGGATTAGCAAAACAGGGGGCATTGAGACAACAATTATTTTGGGCTACACTGTAATGAGGGGTGAGTAGAGTGATTAAAGGGGATCAACAGTCCCATCATCAAGTTGTATAAACTGCTTACAATCTGAATTTTAATAAAATACATATTTACTGATAAAAAAGGCTATTATCATTTGCTCCTTTTTATTTTTTTGGTAACGGTATTACTCTTGTCATTTGTTCTTCTTTTGAGAATAATATTAGTCAAGAACTGTTTTACTAAAAGGGAACTTATATAAAATTGCTATTATTATATAGTCCACTTAGTGATGACATAAGGAGTCCCATCTTGGTTGGTTTGGGGAAGCAGTTTGAATTAACTGTGGCCAGAGTCATTGATGGTAGTGGAAATCAAGGTTGTGGTAAGAAAGGATTCATTTGTAAATTGGATTTTGAAAAGGCCTATGATTTGGTGGACTGGGAGTTTCTATTAGAGGTTATGCGAAATGGTGGATTTGGGGACAAGTGGTGTAGTTGGATCTTTGGGTGTATCAGTACTTGTCACTACTCTATTCTGGTAAATGGTACGGTGTGGGACTTTTTTCCAGCTTGCAGGGGTGTCAGACAAGGGGATCCACTTTCACTCTTCTTCTTTACCTTAGTAGCTGATGTGATTAGTAGGATCATTACTAAGGCTGATAGCGAAGATGCCATTAGGGGTTGGAGAATAGGGAGACACCAAGTTCCCGTCACCCACCTTCAGTTTGCAGA